TTTTTGTGGGGTAGAGGTAGGGTTTTTTGTATTCTTTTTAATGACTTCATACTGCTTATAATCTATCATTATACTATAGTAATAGTTAGAAAACAGCAGTCAGAGAAGGAATAGTTAGACCTAGTGGTTTTCAAAAGCAACAAAATGCTGAATTTCAATTGGAAAAGAAGAGAAACTATAATAGAAATTGAATTGGTAAGCTTTAGCTCCTTAAAATCTCCTGGAGCAGAGGAGAAATAGTTTGGAAGGAATCCACAATGGGCAATGGTGGACCAAAATAGTCTGCTGCACGTCCCATGTGACGTATATATTTCATCTTAGAATAGACATCTCCGAGATAGTACTACTTGAATTTCTCTGCCTTCTGTTCCCACTGTTCAATGTGTGTATATTGCAGATATTGAAACCATTATTTCCCCTGGAAACTGTATCTGTAACTGACCACAATTCTGATTTGTAGTTTTTGGATTTGACTAAAGTAACCCAAGAAAGGAGGAAAGCAAAAGGAAACAGTGATAGGGGGAGATGTGCCCAATTAAATACACGATTCCAGAGGTTACCCAGAAGAGATAAGGAACTATGTTTAAACAAGCAATGCATGTAAGTGGAAGAAGACAACAGAATAGCAAGGACAAGAGACCTCTTCCAGAAAATTAGAAACACTGGAGGTAAATTTCAGGCAAAAATTGGCATGATAAGAAGCAAAGATGGCAGGGACCTAACAGAAGCTGAAGAGATCAAGAGAAGGTGGCGAGACTATACAGAAGATCTGTATAGGAAGGATAATAATATCGAGGATATTTTTGACAGCGTGGTGAGGGAATTAGAACCAGACATCCTGAGGAGTGAGGTTGAATGGGCCTTAACAAGCATTGTTAACAACAAGGCAGAAGGAGACGATGGGATCCCAGCCGAACTGTTTAAAATCTTGAAAGATGATACTGTCAAGGTAATGCATGCGATATGCCAGCAAATATGGAAAACACAAGAATGGCCATCAGACTGGAAAAAATCTACTTATATCCCCAACCAAAAAAGGGAAATACTATAAGACTGCCCAAACTTCCATACAGTGGCCCTTATTTCTCTTGCCAATAAGGTAATGCTCAAGATCCTGCAAGGAAGACTGCAGAAATACATGGAGCGAGAGTTGCCAGATGGACAAGCTGGGTTTAGAAAAGGCAGAGGAACGAGAGACCAAATTGCCAATATTCGCTGGATAATGGAGAAAGGCAGAGAGTTTCAGAAAAAAACATATATTTCTGTTTTATTGACTATTCTAAAGCCTTTGACTGTGTGGATCATAATAAATTGTGGCAAGTTCTTGGTGGTATGGGCATACCAAATCACCTTATCTCTCTCCTGAGGAATCTGTATAAGGACCAAGTAGCAACAGTAAGAACTGACCATGGAACAACAGACTGGTTCAAGATTGGGAAAGGCATACGCCAGGGTTGTACACTCTCACCCAACTTATTCAACTTCTATGCAGAACGTTGGAACATGGAACACTGTTGGACAACACAGACAGTGAACACCTTATTGCAGGACTGCAATTATTTCAAGGGAGCTGAGAAGTTTTAACATCAACATAGTAGCACTTCAAGAGACCTAGAGAGCAGGAGAGGGACAGCTGAAGGAAGAAAAAAGGAGGCTACACCTTCTTCTGGAAGGACTGTCTGAAGAAGAACAAAGAATACATAGAATCGGCTGTGCTATCAGAAACGCCCTGGTGAAGCATCTGTCCAAAGCACCCATCGGCATTAACAAATAACTCTTAACCCTCCGAAATAACATTGTCAAAAACCAACAGGAAACTATCATAAGTGCCTTCCAAGCAACACCAGATGCTGATGAAGACATCAAGGAAAATCTTTACTGTCAGCTGGGCACCATTCTGATGGGAGATACCAACCTGAATGAAATCCTGCTTCTCACCAAATGTGTGGAACACAACCTGGTCATCACCAACACGCTCTCCCACTAGAAAAACAAGCTCAAGACATCATGGAAGCACTCCCGGTCAAAGCATTGGCACCTCTTAAGACTATCTAATTATACATGCGAGAGACCACTGCAATATGATTCTCACAAGAGCCATGACAGATGCCGATGACTGCTGAATAGACCGCAGGTTAATTTGATCCATGATGGCCATCAAAAATCATCCCCAGATGCAGACTTCAAGGATGAAAGATAAGGCATAAAATCAACACCTAAGCCATTCAAGAGCCCTCCAAATGAGCCCTTCTCCAAACAACACTCAAGGATCATCTACCCATAGAACACCCTGAAAATGTTGAGGAACATTTGAATAAACTGAAGATCTCCATCATCACAGCCTGTAAAGAAACCATTGGATACCAAGCTAAGAAACATATAAAGTAGTAGAGAACAACTTTTAGTACAAAAACCATGAGACTCAAATTACAATTTGAGGAAACAATACTAGAACTTTTGCCTTATTTTTTGGGAAAAAACAATTCAGCAATATTAAAGAACTAAAAATGAACACAGTGGGTACTTAATTTCTAGAACCTCCCAAATTCGTGGGTGCCTAAATCCTATTATATATATAAATAGAAGCAGTGGATGATTCTGTCTGTTGATGCAGACTCTATAGATATGGGGAACCAGTTGTAATCAATAATTTTTCATTTATAGACTTTAATGACATAAGTGGTAGAATCCTACAATTGGAAGAGACCTTATGGGCCATACAGTCCAACCTCCTACCAAAAAGCAGGAAAATCTCATTCAAAGCACTTGGCATGGTATGGTGGCCATACCCTTCATATTTCAAATATATTGTATTAGTCACAAATATTCAGTAGCAGGGTAATTCAAAGAACTTTGCCCTCAAAAATCCATGTTATTGCAGGTTGTAAAAAAGTTGCAGAATTAATAAAATCCACATGGATATATCACATTCACAATTACAGAATCAAATTAGGATTCACATTTAAAATCTTTATGCCTTAAAAAAACTGGTTACCATTTGCATTTAGCAATAGCATGCATCTCAGAAGTATTCTTCTCAGAATACTCCAATCTTTACATCCTGATTACAAGCTGATTGAATCTATCACTTTTCCCTTAGGGTTATGCATTAATTCTTTGACTACATTTTACAGCAAAATTAGCAGACAAATATTCAAAAATGACATTACAATTATCTGTTATAATCTGATCCTTCTTTTTGTCTCTCGCGTACAGCCTCTTCACTGAGACCAGTTCAATTATGGCCACAGCACTTTAACAAAGCCAACTGTTAAGCCTAGGAATGCATGCTTCAAAAGATTTTATTAATTGAAATTGCTATATCTCTGCAATCGCCAACTGCCCCTGAATAAAACTCTTACCATTCGAGAGCATGGGGAATAGAATTTCAAATGGTTACATTAAGATGCTTTTCCCAGCGAACAAATAGTCCATAACTTTAGTCAAATGCAAGATGACGACTCTATAACATAAATATTCTCCAATTGTCAGCCTATTTTTTTAGATTTGTTTCTCAAAATCTAAAAAGGGGTTAGTAAAACTTGACAGCTTGGCAAGTCATTAAACCGGTTGTAACTTTTGCTGTAATTATAAGATGTTGCCATCATGAAAATACACTGTTTTAAAATGGGATCCATTATTTTGAAACACCGCGACTTAAACTAATTCAATTATTAAAATAATTCAAAGTAATTATGACATAATCAAATAAGATGTTACAAAAATTCATTATTATTATTATTATATTTATGAAAGAGAGTTTTCTCAGTGGCTGCTGCTAGCCTCTGGAACCCCCTTCTCAGGAAGGCCTGAATGGTCCTTTCCTGCTATCAGAAGAAAAATCTTATTTAATTCAGTACGGCTTTTGTAAGAGATCTTCCCCCAAGAATGATTTAGGAAGTGATGTATTATTTCTAATCTTTTTAACTGCATTTATATTTTTGTAAGAGATCTGCAATGCTTTAATATTGTTCCTGGTTTAATTTTGTTTTAATGTTCACTTTTTGAATGTTTTTAATTGTGTTGCTCTTTTAAACTATAAGCTGCTTTGAGTTCCAATTCTGGGGAAAAGTCAGGATACAAATAAAATAACAATACATTAAAATATAGTAGTACTGGTAGTAGCAACAACTAGTCATCTGCATTTGGGACAAAAGCTTTTGGGTTCATTTTTGTCTGACTCCATTTTGTTTATCAGAAAGTTACCCAAAAGGGGAGGGGTGTTTTCAGTTTCATTTGGCAGAGATTCAGCCCATTGGCTACAACAGGAAACTTTAAAGGCTCAATCGTCAACCACTTTAAGGCCTATATGCATGAAACATACCTCAGTTGTAGATCCCATTTACAACTGGGATTTACAACTGTTGTAGATCCCATTTACAACCTGTTTACAACAAGTTTCAAAACTATTCACCAATGTACTGATTTTTTAGAATTATTTTAAGTTTTGAATATAATATTTTTAAAATAAGACAAACTGCAAAAGAGAGTTCTGGGAATTGTAGTCACCAGCTGTATCCATACTCAGCCAATCAGAGCATGGACACCACCAAGCTTTTCATTAGCTGAGAAACACAGAGAGGGAAAAACTTTAACTCCCATCATGCTCCAAGAGGAACTTTCAATGGACACCCTATGCTAGTGCCACTGGGAAAGTGAGTTCCCTGGACCCTCTCTGGAAGAGGAGGAAACTCTCCAAGAAAAAGTGGAGGATGCTTCTTCTGCCGGGAAGAGAAGAAGACGCCACAGATCCCCCGTCTCAGGTATTTTGTGAACTTAACTCTTTCCAAAAATATCGTCTCTCTCTGAATTCATTTCACTGGTCTTTTTGTCTCTCTCTTCCCCTTTCTGTTTTTGGAAATTACACAAAAATTGCCCTCTAAAAACTACACATCTTTTCATTAACAGTGCTTTGAGCCCAACTCTAGACACATAGAAAGTATTTTGACCCTCAGTGAGAAAACACATATTTAAACATGAATATTTCAATAGCTACTTACTGCAGGTACCAGTAATTTTTTTACTTCATCCACAGCTCGTTTCAGTTTGATTTCTGCTCTATTTTGAGCATCTTCCACAGTGATCAGTACATGCAAATCTTCATTCAGATGTTCCCAATTGGGCTTCCCTCTATTTTGCTCTTCCTGGAAAAGACAAATGAAACATTTGTGATTTTTGATTATAAAACAGTTCATCGACTTCAGACATTTCCACTATAAATATCAAATGTCATCTGATGTCACTGATAAGGATTTTAAATGCACAGCCATTTCCTCATTCACTGAATGAAACATGAATTTTGCTACTATGCCTCCCCGCCTCCTCGCCCTCCAAATAAGGAATCAATTCATGATTATTTCAGATTACCTCATACTTTACAAGTTCTAAATGTATCATTTTTGCAAACCTGATTGACCGGAAGACATCTTAACACATTTTACATTCGGAAATCAAAAAAATTGAGAATACAGAGGCTCAATACCAACATAACACTATATTAAAAATGACAAAACAACACAAACAAAATGGAAAAGCATGTAAACTTCAAAGTGTTTTTAATCCCCTAAAGACCCAGGTCACATTAAGAGAAGTACGAGATTCAGTTTTTTGCTGCTATTTTGGCCCAGTGAAGACTGATATTATATCTGGGCCAATTCAAGTTTAACTCAAAATTTAAGAAGGAGAAAATCTATGATGTTTTAAAGGTAGCTGATGTGATAGGATTTTTATTTTTGAAAAAGTTTGGAGCTTTTAACAAAGTACAATATAACCTTCAAGAGTATCTACATTACTTTCTTAAAATGTATAGCCCAGAACCATTAAGCATAATATGGTAGCCACCTTAGGAAGTAGATACTATGCTGAGGAAAGCATTGTCTCTACCCCTCAACCTGTACTGTGAGTCCTACATTACACTCCTGCTTTCACATGCAGTGGACAATGCTGTTAACACTATGAATGTTAAAATAATGTACAATTCCCAGCCTGGCTGGCTTTTGTTCCTTGATTGTGGGAGGTGCTTCCTTGTGCTTTATTTCATGAAGCAAAATGTCCCTTGCCTAGTTATATATAGGAATGTAAAGAACCATTCCGAACAAGTGAGATATATGACCAGCACCAAGTGTTATATTAGAGCATTACAACAATTTGACACTCCATAGAAAAATATTACACAAAATAAAAACAACTGGAAATAACCTACATATTCCAAAACTTAATTACAAATGAGAACAAGCAAACATGGAAATGTCAGGCTATTTTCACTGATTTAAAACTTAAACTACAAGGTTATAAACAAGCAGCTAATTTGTTTACTATATAAATTCATATTCTAGTAAAGAAGCACTGACTACTCACTTTACAATTCAACACACCTCTCCCCTTTAAAAAAAACAAACAGGATTTAACACTAACATAGTAGTGTTGCCTCTCCCAAAGATTCTATTCATATGCTCAGACTGCAAAATCTGAACGTTATCCATCAACACTAGATAAGTAAGATCCAAAATTATATCCACTGCAACATCATAAGCTACAGTGTTCAATTTAGAATGGATCCAAACAATTTTATCTACAATGTGCTGTGTAAATAATTCACAGCAAACTTTTTTTAGGATAAAAACGTATTAGATCCTTGAATACTCGAAACAGCCCTGCTGAACAGAGCAGAGTAATGCTGTCACAAAAGCAGACTATTTTCCTATTGCTAGGACTGCAACATATAGCTCATATTTGACTGGAATCACTCCAGCTTTTCTGCCACAGTCACTCAAAGTTCTTTCTATTTCTTTCATCATCAATAGCTCTATGAATAGGTGAAGGCATTCAGGAGTAATTATGTACAGTCAAGAGAGGTGTAACAAAATCACTTGTGACAAAAAAGAAACTTCCCCAAGAGGCATCACCTTTGTTGCAGTGGATCATCTTAACTGGACCACCACCAACCCTGCATCCTAATGAGTCTAAAACCTCTATAGGCCAAAGAAAAATCCTCCATACAATTCCTAGCATGCAAAACAATTCAGATTATGTTTCATAACATGTATGAGGCTAGATATTACTTGGGAAAAACCATGGTTCCCAATGAGAACACGTAGTCCTACTTTTATAATAACTAAAATGTCTCTGTGTTGTGTTTTAATTGAATATTTATTTTTTTAAATGTTGCAGGTAGGCCCACTCTCCAAATATGTCCACTGATCCTATGGTGTGAGCAACAATACTAGGAATGCTAGGAAATGGCCATTGTATAATAAAAAGGCACAACTAAAGGACAATATTATTCGCTATTAGATAGCAACTAGAAAGTTATCCCCTCCTGTTGGAAGCCTTTAGAGCAGTGTTTTTCAACTTGGGGGTCAGGACCCTGGTGGGGGGGGGGGTTCCTGTTTCCAAAACTTCGCCAATAATATTCTCGCCGCTGTTGTAGCATAGGTAAATAGTCTATCTTCGTTCTCATCTAATTGTAATTCCAAATCTGTAAATCCCAATAGATAATATTCTGGTTTCTTCTTAAAAACTCTCTTCAAAATTTTTTGTAGCTCTTCATGTACTTTCGTCCAATACTCTATTTCTTTACACGTTTACCACATATGATAAAAAGTACCTGTTTGATGACAACCCTTCCAACATTTATCAGAAAACATATATTTCTGATGGTCGCAGGAACCCCTTTGGCCAAGAAGGCTGAAGATCTCTCCGCCTGTCATTCTCTTCCAATTTGGAAAAAAATATCCTCCCACCAAAAGCCCTCCCCCTGCTGTGATTAGCCGGCCTCTCAGCCATGGTGATGTGGTGAAGAAGTGACTGTGGCACATGGCAGCATGGTGTGCATGCATGGGTGAGGGAGAGTGTGTGAGGCTGGAGGGAGGCTTGCACCAGCGAGTCCCTTCGAGTAAGGGAGGAAAGCACCTGCGCAATGTGGGACTGAAAGTGGCCCAGCAGCAACAGGAGGAGCAGCAGCAGCAGAAGCAGTTTAGGTAATCTGTAATGTTATTTATTAGAAAAAGTCAGTTTTTCCTTTTGTTTTTTTATTAATGCTCCGATTGGAAAATGCATAAGGATGTGGGTTAACTACAACTCTCAAAATCGTGGTTCAATCCTCCCCAAACCAGTATTCACAGTTGGCCATGTTGGGTCTGTGTGCCAAGTTTGGTCCAGTTCCGTCGTCAGCTGGGTTCAATGCTATTTGTATGCAGGTGCACTACAACTTCCATATGCCAAAATCAATCACCCTCAAACCCCGCCCGCATTCACAGTTGGCCACGTTGGGTCTGTGTGCCAAGTTTGGGTCAGATCTATCAATGGTGAGGGTCACATGGGTTCCCTGGATGCAGGGAGAACCCTTCCAATATTTTCTATTGGTCGTGGGAGTTCTGTGTACCAAGTTTGGTTCAATTCCATAGCTGGTGGAGTTCAGAATGCTCTTTGATTGTAGGTGAACTATAAATCCCAGCAACTACAACTCCCAAATGGCAAAATCAACCCCTCCCAACCCCACCAGTATTCAAATTTGGACGTATCGGGTATTTGTGCCAAATTTGGTCCAGTGAATGAAAATACATCCTGCGTATCAGATATTTACATTACGATTCATAACACTAGCAAAATTACAGTTATGAAGTATTAACAAAAATAATTTTATGGTTGGGGATCACCACAATATGGGGAACTGTATTGAGGGGTTATGGCATTAGGAAGGTTGAGAACCACTGCTTTAGAGCATTAAGGTTCACAAAATAAAATACCACTCCTGAATATCAAACTTGGCATTTCAAGGAAAGAATAACTTAATCCAGAAGGTTGCACAACTTAATCCAGAAGGTAGCACTCTATTAACGAAGGCAGTCCTTAGTGACCACTGCCCTGACCCCCCTCGCGAAACTTTCATATTGCCTCGATTTAAGTTTGCTCATCATGCCCTTCAAAGATATCCAACGAAGTTTAGGTCTACAACTTTCCCACTAGAAATTGCTGTAAGCAAGTGGTACAACTGAGTTTTGTCAAAATATTAATGATTTCACAATCAAATCCCTGAATGCCTTAATATAGATTAAAAATAGGACAAATCACAATCCTGTAAAATTACATAAGGGTCTCCACAGTAGTATCCCAACACTACCTATGACATAAAGACAAAGATCCTATACATTTTTAGTGTAACATGCACTATGTTGACTCCCACAATTGTACATCTGACTGTACAACAGGAGAGCTCAAGGCACTTAGCCAATAAACTCCCTCCCCACCATGTGTGTGCTTGCAAAATGGTTGGATGCATAAGGGTCACGTGTATATAACGAGGAAATGCTGCTACTTTTTCAACTATTTTATACTGTTGCTGGCATGTTGCCTCAATAGGATTCTAAGGATGATAAATGTTCTCAGTGGAGTACTCATTATATTAATTCAAGATATACAGATTTATAATAGTTTCTGCCTCTGTGTCTGTGTGTGTGTGGGGGGGCTCTCTTTTTTTGCACCCTGCCCAATTACAGGAAAGACTACACTGAAGCAATGCGACACTGATACAGAAAACACCCTGCAAGTGGTTTGTAAGAAACATTCAGAGGCCAAACAAAAGGGATATAACAAAATGTACTGAAGCGATAGTACCAAACATGTGATCTGGGAAGATTAGTTCTAATTAAGCAAGTTTTTTTTTTGTCGTGTCAGGAGTGACTTGAGAAACTGCAAGTCGCTTCTGATGTGAGAGAATTGGCTGTCTGCAAGGACGTTGCCCAAGGGACGCCCGGATGAATTGATGTTTTTATCATCCGTGTGGGAGGCTTCTCTCATGTCCCCGCATGAGCAGCTGGAGCTGATAGAGGGAGCTCATCCGTCTCTCCCCGGATTCGAACCTGCGACCTGTTGGTCTTCAGTCCTGCCGGCACAGGGGTTTAACCCACTGTGCCACCGGGGGCTCCAATTAAACAAGTGATCTCAAAAGAATCTCTGTCGCTTAGCTTTACTTCTACTTATTATGAATGTTACACAGCCGATCAAATAGTTTCTGATGATTTATATTAATTGTAAATAATTACTACTACGTTCCACAATCATCATCAGTATTATATGGGAAATGATTATTAAAATACCAAAGCATCACCACCAACTTTAAAGGAATCCAAGAAATCAAATAATT